GTTGCATATATCTTTATAGGTAGGCTGGGGCCCTGTCCCGCTAATCTTTACTACTCTTAAAGGCTTGCAGACTAGTGTGTGGGGTGTATAGCTACGTTATGGCCATACTGGCCTATGTGGTTGGTTTGCTGAAGCTTGTGAGATGTTTGATGTATTGTATTGATATATACCTACTTTTAGTTTTGGTATAAATATCATGGTGGCCTCAACGGCCCAATCAGGACTTCTGTGCTAGTTGGCTATTTATTTATATGATCTCCTAGAAGTAGCTGTTTCTTTTATAGATCAGTTGGCAGGGGCCTTGCTGGCCGATGGCTAGTTTTTAAGCCGAGATATACTTGTTTGATTTCTTGATTGCATGTGGCTGTCATGCGCTAGTAGCAAATGGTGGCAGCAGGGTCGGCTCGGGCCTGAGTTTTGGCATTAGGAGGCAGTTGCGCCCCTTGAGTTGGGGGCGTGACACAAATAACTGTGTTTAGGGAGTAATCAGGACTACAAAAAGTTAATGCACGCAATAAACAAACTGTGTCAAGTTTATGTGATAGTGAGGTATTCAGCCCAAAAGATAGAAAAAAGCATTGGCAATATATATATATAAGAGTTAGTTTGTGTTACATAATGTATATAAATCTCTTTCTTGATATTGTACAAAGATATAGATAGATAGCATATATTTAGGATTTCCTCTTTATTTCTTTCCTTAGTTAGCTTATAATATTATTGTATTTATACATGTTTACCTATTGAATAAGACACAAATTATTCTCTCCAATTCCTTGCACATGGTATAAGAGCATAACCAGAATTGTGAGACTTGAAGTGGTGGTTCTCGAGTCTCACCACTGGTGGTTGCCGGAATTAGCCGCTGCCATATTTCTGGTTCATGTGACTTCACCACTGGTGGTCTGTCTTACTGATTTGACGTTGCCTTAAGATTCCTAATTGATTTATGGTGGTTTCTTATCATTGGACCACGCTTTGAAGATTTAACATCAAGATCCAGGTTCTGGAATCTTTCTTTTGGTGATACCTTAGTTTGAATTCCTTTCTCTGCTGCTGTTTGGTCTGTTTTGAGCCAAATTGTCTGATCTTTGCTGCTGGTGGTTCAAATTTCCTCTCTATTGCTTGATTGGTTTTCTGTCTAAGGCCTTTGGCTATTCATATTTTAGTTTCTTGTTACTCTGTGAACAGTTGGGTATTCGAACCATCTGAACTCTGTTTTGGGTTATTTGGTTTTCTCTGGTTTTCTCTACTTGAGTTGAGCCGTTTTGTGAAGTTGACTATTCTCTTGTTAAAACCTTTATATTGGGAGTTTTGGTGATTTCTTTGTTAATTTGCGTTGACATTGTGAGAATGAATGATAATAAGGGATAAGAATGGAAGAGTTCAGATAAGCGTAATAGTAAGGTTGATGTTGCTCATTGGCCATCATCGGATAAAACAGTTTTGGTTTCGGCAGAAGATTATGCTAGATTCGTTCAGTATCAGAAATCTACTTAGTTACTACTTTTGTTGAGTCAGGGAAAGCGTGCCTTATTACCTCTTCAAATAAATGGGTGATTGATTCAAGCGCCACAAATCACATGACAGGTAACCCAAGTATTTTTTCGAACCTCCAGCCACACAAAGCACCATCTCCAATTATTGTAGCGGATGGATCAACTTGTACCAGTGTTGGATCTGGAACTGTTAAATCAACCTCATCTATTACCCTGTCATCTATCTTAAGTCTCCCAAAATTGGCCTTTAATTTGATTTCTGTTAGTAAATTTACGAGAGACCTTAACTGTTATATCTCGTTCTTTCCCGATTATTGTCTGTTTCGTGACATTGGAACGAATCAGGTTATTGGTAAAGGATATGTATCTGATGATCTTTACATCCTTAATGAATGGGAACCTCGGTCTGTTGCATGCTCAGGTGTTATTTCTCCATTTGAAGCACATTGTCGATTGGGACATCCTTCACTACTGTTGTTGAAGAAGCTTTGTCCCAAGTTTCAAAATATTTCTTTTTTGGATTGTGAATCATGACGATTTGCTAAACACCATCGCACCTCGTTAAGTCAAAGGGTTGATAAGTGAGTAGAGTCAGCTTTTGAGTTAGTTCATTTTGATGTTTGGGACCATGTCCTGTTGTTTCCAAAACTGGACATAAATATTTTGTTACTTTTGTGGATGACTTTTCTAGAATGACGTGGATATACTTTATGAAGAATAGAGCTGAAGTGTTTTCCCATTTTTGTGCGTTTTCGCTAAAGTTAAGACTAAATTTAATTCTACTGTGCACATACTAAGGAATGATAATGCTAAAGAATACATGTCAGAATTATTTCAGACATATATGAGGCAACATGGGATTCTCCACCAGTCATCTTGTGTTGATACGCCTTTTCAGAATGGAGTTGCTGAAAGAAAAAATAGGCATCTACTTGAGACAGCTCGGGGACTATTGTTTCAAACAAAGGTTCCTAAACAGTTTTGGGCCGATGCAATCTCTACAGCTTGTTTCTTGATTAATCGCATCCCATCTAATGTTCTTGTAGGTAATGTACCCTATAACATTCTTTTTCCAAATAAGTCCCTATTTCCGGTGGAACCTAATGTATTTGGAAGCACTTGTTATGTTAGAGATGTTCGACCATCAGTTACCAAGTTGGATCCCAAAGCCTTGAAGTGCGTTTTCTTTGGATATTCTCTCCTTCAAAACGAATATCGTTGTTACTCTACTGAACTTGGAAAATATTTGGTATCAATTGATGTAGCCTTTTCGGAGGCTACACTATTCTTCTATACACCTACCATTTCTAAGAGTCAGGGGGAGAAGATGAGTGGTTAGTGTACCAAGTTACCAGGGCCATTCCAGAACGATCAAATGATGTTTCTCTTACATCGCCTGATTCTTCAATTGAGCACCAATCTACTATTGTGCCTTCTGCGCCTGTTCCATCAGCTCCAACAAGACCGCCCGTTGTTCAGGTTTACTCTAGGAGGCGGGAGACTAATGATACCTATGTTGCACCAACTCCTTCGTCATCAGATCCTCCTCCAAGTGATCCTACAGAAAATATTGACCTTCCTATTGCTCCTCGCAAAGGTACATGCACTTGCAAATACATATATTCCAGTGGTAATTTTGTTTCCTACTGTCAGTTATCTCTCGCATCTAGATCTTTGATTGTATCTCTGGACTCTATTTATGTACCCAAAACTGTTAAGGAGGCTTTGAATCATCCTGGATGGTCTAAAGCAATGCTTGAGAAAATACATGCCTTAGAGGAAAATCACACATGGAATCTGGTAGACTTACCTAGTGGAAAGAAAGCAGTGGGAAGCAAGTGGGTGTTCATAGTCAAAGTTAATTCAGATGGCTCTGTGGCGAGACTTAAGGCCAGACTTGTGGCCAAAGGGTATGCTCAGACTTATGGGGTGGATTATTCAAACACATTCTCTCCGATTGCCAAACTCACTTTTTTCCGCTTGTTCATTTCTCTAGTTGTTTATGAGAATTAGCCGTTACATCAGTTGGATATTAAGAATGCGTTCCTTCATAGTGATTCTCCACGAAGAGGTTTATATGGAGCAACCGCATGGTTTTGTTACTCGGGGGGGTATGAAAAGGTTTGTCACTTGAAGAAGTCCTTGTATGGCTTGAAATAGAGTCCTCGAGCTTGGTTTGGAAAATTTAGCGAGGTAGTTCAGGAGTTCGGATTGGAAAAGAGCAAATGTGATCATTCAGTCTTTTACAGGAAATCTGCTCTGGAACTATTCTCCTTGTTGTATATATCGATGACATTGTCATTACTGGAAGTGATTTTCCTGGTATATCTTCTCTCAAGTCTTTCTTACATACTAAGTTTCATACAAAAGACTTGGGAGAACTTAAATACTACTTGGGAATAGAAGTATCTAGAAGCAAGAAGGGTATTTTTCTATGTCAGAGAAAGTATATTCTTGACCTACTGGCAGAAACTGGAAAGTTGGCTGTCAAGCCTTGCAGTACTCCAATGGTTCCTAATGTGCATCTTATGAAAGATGATGACTATCCATTTGAAGATCCAGAATGGTATAGAAAGTTGATTGGGAAATTAAATTATGTCATTGTGACTCGTCAAGATATCGCCTTTGCAGTAAGTGTGGTTAGTCAATGTCAGACATAGGGCAGCTTTAGAACAAATCTTATGTTATTTAAAAGGAGCCCCTGGACTTGGTATATTGTATAGCAATCATGGACACTCTCACATTGAGTGTTTCGCAGATACAGATTGGGCTGGATCCAAGATTGATCGAAGATCTACTACTGGTTATTGTGTTTTTGTTGGTGGAAACTTGGTGTCATGGAAAAGTAAGAAACAAAACGTTGTATCTCGGTCCAGTACAAAATCCGAGTACAGAGCAATGGCACATTCTACATGTGAAATCACGTGGATACATCATCTTTTAACTGAAATTGGATTGAAGCATTCTACTTCATCAAAACTTTGGTGGGATAATCAAGTTGCGCTTCATATTGCTTCAAATCCGGTATATCATGAAAGAACGAAACATATTGAGGTTGATTGTCATTTTATTCGTGAGAAGATTCAGGAAAACTTGATATCTACGGGCTACGTGAAGACATGAGAACAAGTAGTTGATTTGTTCACGAAGGCATTGCATGGAGCTCGAGTAAATTACCTTTGTAACAAGCTGGGCATGATCAATTTACTCCAGCTTGAGGGGGAGTGTTACAGAATGTATATAGATCTCTTTCTTGCTATTGTACAAAGATATAGATAGATAGCATATCTTTGGGATTTCCTCTTTATTTCTTTCCTTAGTTAGCTTCTAATATTATTGTATTTATACATGTTTACCTATTGAATAAGACACAAGTTATTCTTTCCAATTCCTTGCACAGTTTGCAAGTATGATCATCAAAAGAAAGGAGTCAAATAAATACTAATATCAAAAAAATTATTCAAGAAAACTAATTTTCACCTGATTGAAGGAAAACAAGAAGTTAAATGAGTCAAATCATACCTTCGACCCCTTCCAAAGGTTAACCACATAACTGCAACGCATAATAAGGCCCACCAGTTTTGGTGGTTTAAAATCTTTTGGCAACGATGCTGAAGGATAATATGACCAATCAAACCAGCATAAGCTGTTAGGAAGGAAATTTATAGGCTCATGAGCACACAAATGCATAAAGTTCATGTGATATGGTTTAATGAATACTCTTAGTCGCTTCATATGTCTAAAGACTTCATTGCTCAGGTGTACAGTATCTTCCTCTGCATCAGACTTCAATGGAATTAATATGCCTTCTACTGCTTCTACACCCTGAGAGGATTCAAAAATTGCATTACCGGAGCAGCTTTTATACTTGCATGTGATAATTGAGTCTAAAGCTTCTTTGAAAGAACCCATCAAAGAGTAATTTTCTATTTTCTAAGTAAATGCAGGAATCCATTTCCATCCATCCTCTGGAAAATACATTTTTAAAAGAGTACTTAATAGGTGTATGGTTTGAAAATGCTTTTAACCTCATTTAAAAGCTTAATACATTGCCTCATTTTCCTCAAGGCAAGAACAGAATATCGTAAATTAATAACTTACAATTTATAAAATTTCTCAAAATAAGTTTGATACCGTATTTTCTGTTAAAACATCAGCAATATCTTCATGAAGCCATATCCTTTTCCTCGGGTATTGTTGCAGTGCAACGCGTTGTCCCATTTCTCGAATCAAATCATGCATCGCAATCCTTTCAAATGATGACTCAAAAAGGAGGGACTTCTCAATCAGGACAGCTATTATTATTTCAGGGTACAGTTTTCTAATATAAGCAGGACCTGGTATAAGGGAACATGCTAAGTCTAGAAAAACTTGCTTATGTGCATCCTCCAGTCCATCACAACTTATCTTAAGCTTTGAAATAATTTCATCTACCGGAATACCTTTCAGTGTATCTAGTGCATCTCTCCACTGCTTCATGCTCCGTCCACACAGGAAGGAACCTATGACTTTAAGCGCCAGGGGAAGGCCACGGCGTACTGTGCCACCCATTGAGAGAGCTGCTTAAAATCACTGTTAGGAGATGTATTTCAAAAAGCATGCCAACTAAACAGCTGAATCGCTTCAGCATCAGCTAGTAAGCCGACACTATAAGTTCCATCATAGTCCCGAAACAAATGTTTATCCCTTGCTGTTATAATAATTCTACTGCCTCTACCAAACCAATTACGGTGTCCAGCTAACCCATCCAACTGGTCTTGGTGATCAACATCATCAAGAACTACTAAAAACCTTCTTAGAACCAAGCCTTTTTCTGATCATATCAATTCCACCATATTCATCAGCTATATTCACAGATTCAACTGTCAACACCTCAGAAACCAGAGTCTTTTGTAGAGACAACAATCCCAGCTTAGCTTGATTTTCTTTAACGTTTACAACAAAACAAGCACCTTCAAATTGATGAGAAATACTATCAAAAATATCCCTTGCAATGGTGGTCTTTCCAATACCACCCATCCCTGAAATCCCAATAAATCGAACATCTTCACACTCCATCATCAACAGTGAAAGTACAGCTTGAATTTGTGATTCTGCTCCCACAAGAGTGCCACTGATCATTGACTTTCGGCTCAACTTATTAGATATATCTTTCACAATATGTTGAATGCATATAGACTCGTTTCTGCACGAGAGAGAGGACAATGACAATCTGAGCAAAAAAGAACTCGAATAAAAGAAAATACACAGACAAATAAAACACAGATGGAGTAAAACAAAACAAAATATTGAATTTTTTTTTTGAGGAATGTGAATGTAATTGGAATCTTCAAATAGGAATTATGTACAGATTGTAAGAACAAAAAGGATGATACTCACTAACTCACCTTACTTACTAGAACAAGTGAACTTTAATTGATCTGCATATTTTACATGTACGAAAGGTGAGGGAGTAGGTGGCATGAGGTTACTTGCAGTTCAATAAGTTCATGAGTTGTACAAAGAAAACATGTGCAAGTGCAACAACCATTATAGAAGAAATGCTTGACAAAATGAAGTAATATAGCTACTGACCCATTGTAAGTAGCGCCATGCAGATCATGGCCAGACAAATCGGCTGCTTCTTTTAAAGCTTTCCTCCAGTTAAGCACCTTGTTGGTGTCGCCCTTGAAATTTTCCTCATATATACCTGGAAAAGGCTTTAGCAAAACTATTTCTCTGGTAGCGTACTTCTGACGGAGTGATGTCCTAGAAGATTGTTACAACTACCAGGACCGTCTTAATCACTAGTTCACTAAAGTCATCGCTTGGGCCTCATATTTTTGGAGCCTCAATTTTATTTTATTTAAAATACTTATATATATTTATTAAAAAAAAATTATATGTACTTTTAATTTATTTTTTTAAAAAAAACATGTATGAAGTATAAAAAAATGACAGTTAGTTTTCCACGTTTTTTAAGGGAATGAAACATTTTTTGGGAATAATTTCCTTTAAGTGGAAGTTTGACCCTATATTATTATTTACCTTATACTCATATTTTTTATTCTCTATTTTATTATTTTTATTCTCAATATTGAACTCTCTCCTACAATTTTTTTTGTTCTACTGTTGCTTACAAGTTACAAAAGAACAAAATTTGCTTTCGGATGTCTTCTTCAAAATCTCAAGATGTGAACCAAGCAATCATTATATTAAAGGAACACAACACTATTTCGATGTTGTTCTATCAACTTATCAAATTCATGAGTCAAGTTTTATTATTCTAACTTTATTTTATAATTTTTTTTGAAAATATGTTATTGTTGATATTTTGAGTTCATAAGTATATATATTATTGTTTTAGTTATTATTAAAATTATATAATTTAAATATGTCAACTAGAAAATATGATTTCGATTTGACAAAAAAGAGAAAAAGAGAAAACTTGAAGAATTAAATAAATTCCAAAAAGGTGCCCTTGATAGATTTTTTTAACAAAAAATAAAAATTCTGAATAAAAAAGTATTGCTTATAGAATAATGTTAACAACTCCTGTAACTGTTGCCTCAGCCGAAAGAAGTTTTTCGAAACTAAAATTGATAAAATCTTATCTAAGATCAACAATGTCTCAAGAGAGATTGAATGGATTAACTATATTATCAATTGAAAAGGAATTATTAAAACATATCGATTATAAAACAATAATTGATAACTTTGCATCTAAAAAAGCTAGAAAAGCAAATTTTAAATAAAAGTATATATGATGATTATTTTTTTAAAAGAATTTTAAAAGATTTTTCCTTAAAAAAATATATTAGGGCCTCTCTAAGATTTGGCTTCAGGCCCCAATCTTGTTGAGTTGGCCCTGCAACTACCTGCCCAAGATGAAGTTGACATTCCATGATCTTCGATAACTCATCCAAGCACCATTTGGATGAAGCATAGTTCTCTGAGAAGACGAGAATGGCAAACCTTGACCGTTTTAGGGAACTCACAAGTAAGGCTGGCAAGGTCGGTCTGGTCCGGTTTCGGTCCGATTCCCGTACCGGTAAGTCCGGTACCGATTGAACCGGTAAGTCCGGTACCGATTGAACCGGTAAGGAACCGGTCTTATAGGGTACCGGAACGGTATCGAAATGGAACCCGGTTTTTTCTCCGGTTGATCCGGTTCAACGGTCACTTCCCATTTTATTTAATTTTTATTTTAAAGGTGAACGTTAATTTATAGCCATTGGGTTGGGGACCAAAATGGCTCAAAACTGCCCCCCACCCCTCTCTAAACCCTTAACACTATAAATATACTCATATTCTTTCATTTAAATCACAAATTCACAAACTATTTCATTAATATCTTATAAAATCTCTCAATTTTCAATCTCTCATAAATTCATAATTATTATTTTGTGATATTGACTTGGAGTTCGGATTTTGGAGATTTATTTGAAGTAAATCGGAAGCTTCAATTGGCATCTCTCAATTCCGGCTTTGGTTAGACGTCTACTTTTACGTAGACGTTCGGTACATTCGTTCCAACTTTAATTTTTTATTTGTTTATTAATTAAGTTATTTTATTTTTTTGTTTATATTATCTTGCTTGTTTTTCATAATATTTAATTATTTTAAACTTGAACATGAATTCGGAAAGAAATAGTGGTAAAAGATCACTGTCGGAAGAAAAAAATAATAGGGGAGGATGAAGTAGTTCTAGTTCTAAACATTTGCCACCTAGATTTAGAGTTAATACTAATGATTATACTCATGTTGATGAAACTTCTTTTATGTCACGAGGACCTATTGAATTTAATTTCGAAAATGAAGTAGATCATAAGACTTTAAATAGATGTTTTACTAATTTTGAGGAAGAATTAGATGAGGAAGTAGAAATAAATGAGGAAGATGATGAGACCCCTACCCCTACTAGTTCAGCTACCGAATTATCGAAACAAGATGAAGTCCTCTCTTTACCTACTTTTTCAAAGACCGTTGTACATGTTAAAAGATCTTTAGTATGGAAATTTTTGGTACAAAATGAGGAAAAAACTACTGTTACTTGCACGAAATGTAAATTGATCATGAAACATGTAACTACGGGTACACAAGGGGGAACGGGACGACTAAGAACACATTTGAGAAAGTGTAATAAAGAATTTGCTCGCCTAGATGATATAGAAAGGGATAATAGAAATGGAATACCCATACCTGAAAATTCTATGGGAGTTGGAGGTTCTAATATATATGGTTCAAAGTGTATTAAATATGACTAACCCCGCTAGCCGAAGCACACACCGCACATATAGTAAAGAAAAAGATCGTAGAGAATTAGCTAAAATGGTTGCTGTTTGTGGTTTGCCTTTTTCATTTCCTTCACATCCTGAAATAAACTTAGTTTTACAATTTTATGGAATATGTGATAAAATAATGAGTGTCACTTTAGATAATGCTTCTAATAATTTGAAAGCAATTGATTATTTAAAATGTAGACTTTGTCCAATTGATAATGATTCTTTTCATATTAAGTGTACCGCACATGTGTATAATTTGATAGTAAAAGATGGTACTTCTCAATTTGGAATTTCTTGTGAAAAAATTAGACTTGCTTGTAATTAGATTTTTAAAGATAAAATAAAAGCTAGAATTACAAAATTTAAAAATCGTTGTAAAGAATGTGGACTTGCATATAGAAAGTTCCAAAAGAATATGCACTAGATGGAATTCTTTATTTGAAATGCTTGAAGTTGCTTATATTTATTACGAGCCGGTACAATTAGTTTTTAATGCTCATAATGCAAACCCAAATTTAAGAATTGGCTATGAAGATTGGGAAAATACAAAAGAACTTGTTGAATTTTTAAGTGTTTTTTACAAAGCAACAAATACTGCTTCTGGTCAATATTATCCAAAATGTCTTCTGTTTTAGTAAATATTTGTGCTATTTCATCTGAATTTGCAAAATATAGAGGAAAAGATCGATTTAAAGATTCACTTGCTTTTATGATTGAAAAATTCAAAAAATATATTTTCCCTATTCCTCAAATCTATTTGACTGCTACTACTTTCAACCCAAATTACAAATTAAAAGGTGTTGAAAGAATGGTTGAAAAGATTTATGCAAATTTAGAAATTAAAGATGATGAAACTCCTAGTGTTGAAGACTGTAAAAGTAGCATATATACAAAAGCTAGAGAGTTATATAATACATATAAAGCTATGGAAAAAATAATTCCAATAGTTGAACCTCCATCTTGTAAGCCTAGAAGTGATGATACGGATGATTGGATGGATGATTATCTTGAGTTTGAATCCTCTACTAATAATATTTTGATTTATAAAAACTAAATCGACATTCAATCAAATTAAAGAAAAAAGACATACCTTTTTTTTTTCTTTTTTTTTTTTTAATTTAGTTTGATTTTAATTTTAAACAAAAACAATCGAAATTGTTAAGATGTGGTAAATATTGTAGAGATATTTTAAATATGGTTGAGTATATGTTTAGATATTTTATTTTATTTTATTGTGTATAAATAGGGTTGTAGTCTCTTGTATCTAACGAAGTACATATCCATCAACTCTTTAGATTTTTTTGTGTTTTTCTGTTTCTTTTTGTAACATGATATTAGTGACTCGTCAGATTGTTGAAATTCATATCTACTCTTCTATCTTTCTCGTAGTAATTTGTTCAAAGCAATTAATATTGTTTCATCACTGTTGGGTCTCTTCCTTTGTCTTTCGCTTCTTTTTTGGTTGATGTTAATTTACTGAGCGAATATCATTGACAAGAATAATATTTCTCAATCTGTTTTTGTTATTTTCAATGGATCTAATTGTCGTCATTGGTATCAGATAATGCATAGTTTTTTGAAAGGGAGAAAGTTGTGACGATATGTCGTCACTGGTCATATAATCTGTCCAAAGAAAAGTGAGACTGAAATGGACGAAAAGCTTGTTGATCATTTCGAAGATTGGAATAGCCGAAATTATCAGATCATTACAAGACTTGGAAACACTTCTTTTCAAAGTATTCCTCTCCAATTTGGATAGTTTGACACATCATCTTTTTTACGTATGCTATTTCTCATGTTTTTTATTGATTTCAACGGATGGGATGAGAGAGATGGCTACCTTGAAATAAGAAAAGGAGGAATCTCTCTATGAAGAATCAATTGACCTTGGCCAAATCAGCTTTAATTTATTTATTTTTTATGACGATGCCAAATTTTTTCACTACCGCAATAATGATTCAATTCTTGATTGTTTTTAATGATGATAATTATGAACCAATTCGGGCTGCATTGCTTAACCGACAACCTTTGCCAACTGTTGAAGATATTCTTCCTTGTCTTAAATGTGAAGAAACTTGTTTGGATCTCACGTGATCAATGGATAATTAAATTTTACAGCCACTAATAAGATTGTGTAAAATTTTGATGCAATTGTCATCAAGCTGGTCATGTTCTACACGATTGCCTAGTTATTAAATGCATAAAAAAAGGTCATATCTCTAGGAATTGTCCTCCAGTATGTCAGCACCGTAAAAAGGAAAATCACTTAATTAAAAATAGTTCTAGTCGACCTCAATCACGATTCCATTGATGAGAAGGGGCTGGAGAAAGCTTGAACCAAATTTCTACGATAATGAATATGAGCGCAATTGAAATTTCTAGAGGGTTATATATACATGCATGGATATATTGATATCCCCATCCGTGAGTAAATATTTCATAGTACTGGTATATAGAGATAATAAGGAGGAGCATAACCTGAAACATTCCGAGCCTACAAAGATAGTTATAAAATTGCTAGCACTGCATAAAAATATTCCCTCTAGGGTAGTTGTTGATATGAATAAGAGAAACTTTGTTATAGTCATTTATGCATATTCAATATACTCTACCAATAGAGGAATACATAGAGTTGAACATAGTAAAATACTAAGAAATTGAAAGATTTCGTTGGAATTGTTCGTGAAAATTTTCATTAATTTTAATTTGTTTGTCCTATTTTCCTTTTTAACCATTTTAAAAAGAATATCTCTTTCTGTTTTTAGCAACTTTTCCAACTTTTCACATAACATATTTAAGACCACAATATTAAAGAGCATTTTAGTAATTTGATATATTTTTAATTTAAGATCATAAAATTCAAAAGTCTTATTTACTTTTTTAAAACGTGTGACAAGTCAAACTAAAATAAACAAATTAATACGGGCAGAGTAAATTAACAAATATAATTAACTTATTTTGGTATCATGCATATTTTTCAATACAAAATATAGAAAATTCAAGTGAGGCTATTTTTTTTAGTAAATTTAATCCAAATTTGATGAATTTTATATAATAAAAAATTAAAATTAAAAAATGACTTTCGTTCGATAAACTTTTAGTTGGATGACTCGTATAGTCGTACGTAACAAAAAATATATTTAAAATGTGACTTTGACTAACTCAAAATTGAGTAACCATTAGTAAAATTTAGTTGTGAATTAGCCTAATTTAGCAGTATTTTATTTATTGATTAATAAGGAATTCAAAATTCTAGATATTGGATAAAATCTTTAAGATTATAATTTTACTAGTGTCACTGCCCGCGCTTTGCGCGGTCCTAAAAATCATATTCCCTCTGTTTCATTTTATGTGACACCTTTTTCTTCATAGTCTGTCCCCACAAATATTATTTTACTATAATTAAATAGAATTTACCACAACTTTTAAAAGTCTTTTTTTTCTTAAACACAGTATAAAGTCAAAGGGTACCACATAAAATGGGACGAAGGGAGTCTAAATATAATTAAATACTAATTAGTATTCTAATTTTATATAAGAGACAATAATTGTCTTTTCATGATTCTTTAGATTATATATATGTTTTTTTATCGAATGAATGTGTAAGACGACAGTAAATGAGATTCCTCATTTAAATTAATGTATAATATCAACTTAAATA